ATGTCTTTTAATTTGGTCATTGATTCATTGATTATTTAGGAGCATGTTGTTAAACCTCCATGTGTTTGTGAGCCTTTTTGTTTTCTTTGTACAATTTATTTCTAGTTTTATGCCTTTGTGGTCTGAGAAGTTGATTAGAAGAATTTCAATGTTTTTGAATTTACTGAGGCTCTTTTTGTGGCCTAGTATGTGGTCTATTCTGGAGAATGTTCCATGTGCACTTGAGAAGAATGTGTATCCTGCTGCTTTTGGGTGTAGAGTTCTGTAGATGTCTGTTAGGTCCATCTGTTCTAGTGTGTTGTTCAGTGCCTCTGTCTCCTTACTTATTTTCTGTCTTGTTGATCTGTCCTTTGGAGTGAGTGGTGTGTTGAAGTCTCCTAGAACGAATACATTGCATTCTATTTCCTCCTTTAATTCTGCTAGTATTTGTTTCACATATGTTGATTGGGTGCATATATATTTATAGTGGTTATATCCTCTTGTTGGACAGACCCCTTTATCATGATGTAATGTCCTTATCTCTTGTTACTTTCTTTGTTTTGAAGTCTATTTTGTCTGATACTAGTACTGCAACACCTGCTTTTTTCTCCCGGTTGTTTGCATGAAATATCTTTTTCTATCCCTTGACTTTAGTCTGTGCATATTTTTGGGTTTGAGGTGAGTCTTTTGTAAGTAGCATACAGATGGGTCTTGCTTTTTTTATCCATTCTGTTACTCTGTGTCTTTTGATTGGTGCATTCAGTCCATTTATATTTAGGGTGATTATTGAAAGATATGTACTTATTGCCATTGCAGGCTTTAGATTCATGGTTACCAAAGGTTCTAGGGTAGCTTCTTTACTATCTAGCCATCTAACTTAACTCTCTTATTAAGCTATTATAAACACAGTCTGATGATTCTTTATTTCTCTCCCTTCTTATTCCTCCTCCTCCATTCTTTATATGTTAGGTGTTTTATTCTGTGCTCTTTTGTGTTTCCTTTGACTGCTTTTGTGAGTAGTTGATTTTATTTTTTGCCTTTAGTTAGTATTTGGTTGGTCTGCTTTCTTTGGTGTGATTTTATTTTCTCTGTTGGCATCTATTTAGCCTTAGGAGTGCTTCCATCTAGAGCAGTCCCTTTAAAATATCCTGTAGAAGTGGTTTGTGGCAGGTAAATTCCCTCAACTTTTGTTTGTCTGGAAATTGTTTAATCCCTCCTTCATATGTAAATGATAATCATGCTAGATACAGTATTCTTGGTTCAAGGCCTTTCTGTTTCATTGCATTAAATATATCATTCCATTCTCTTCTGGCCTTTAAGATTTCTGTTGAGACGTCTGTTGATAGCCTGATGGGTTTTCCTTTGTAGGTGACATTTTTTCTCTCTCTGGCTGCCTTTAATACTCTGTCCTTGTCTTTGATCTTTGCCATTTTAATTATTATATGTCTTGGTGTTTTCCACCCTGGGTCCATTGTGTTGGGAGTTCTGTGGGTCTCCATGGTCTGAGAGACTATTTCCTCACCCAGTTTGGGGAAGTTTTCAGCAACTATTTCTTCAAAGACACTTTCTATCCCTTTTTCTCTCTCTTCTTCGTCTGGTACTCCTATAATACGAATATTGTTCCATTTGGATTGGTCACACAGTTCTCTTAATATTCTTTCATTCCTGGACATCCTTTTTATCTCCTCTGCCTCAGCTTCTCTGTATTCCTGTTCTCTGATTTCTATTCCATTAATGGCCTCTCGCACTCCATCCAGTTTGCTCTGAAGTCCTTCCAGAGATTGTTTTATTCTGTATTCTCCCTCCCTACTTGCTCCTTTAGCTCTTGCATATTTCTCTGTAGGTTCATCAACATGGTTATGACCTTTATTTTGAATTCTTTTTCAGGAAGATTGGTTAAATCTATCACCCCAGGCCCTCTCTCGGGGGTTGTCTGGGTAATTCTGGACTGGACCAAATTCTTCCACCTTTTCATGGTGATAGAGGTAGCTGTATGCAGGTAGTGCATGTGTCAGCTGGGAGAGCAAAATCCTTTCCTGTTTTCTGGTTGCCTTGCCCTTCTCCACTGCCTGTGTCAGTTACCCGCACTCCTGGAGCAGCCTCTGGATTAATCCCCTAAGCTGCTGTGGGCAGGGTCTCCATCAGGGTAGGGCAGAGCCCTGCAGGGAGTGGCAGGCACGCCAGGTGTGCTCTCCTGTGAGAATGCCGCCCCTTCATGCCTTGCCCCAGTTTCTTCTGCCTGTGCCTGGCAGTTGTGCACTGGCAGCAGCCTTTGGGTCTGGCCCAGGCAGCTGTGCACTGGGAGGAGATTCTGGGTGGCTCCTTGGGGCGTGGCTGCTCCTGGGCTGCTCTGCCATCACCACGGGCATGTGCAGCTGCTCTTCAGCTGCTTGACTGCTGCCGCAGGTGCGCGCGACCACTTCCGGCTGCTCTGCTGCTGCCGCCTTGGGCACATGCAGCTGCTCTCTGGCTACTGGCCTGCTGTGTTGGGGGCTGCTCCAGCCGGGGGAATGACTGGCAGGCTGCTTATCACTGTGAGGGGCTTCAGAACTGCACTGCTGCCCAGGGTATTAGGGTGCCTGGAGTTCCCTGGGATTCCCAGCTGCTGGGCTGAGTGTGCTGGGACACTTCCGTCCAGCTGTAAGGCCCCTGTCCCTTTAAGACTTTCAAAAAGCACTCGCTTTTCTTTTGTCCCAGAGGAGCTGGTTGCGGGGGAACCACTTGCAGATTTTGCTTTTCCTTTTCTCTAAGATCCAGCACACCATGCAATGTGTGTCTGCACTCCCCGTGCAGATTACTAGAGCTGGTTGTTCAGCAGTCCTGGGCTTTCACTCCCTCCCCGCTCAGATGACTCCTTTCCTCCTGCTGGGGAGCTGGGGTTGGGGGAGTGCTTGGGTCCTGCCAGGCCATGGCTTGTATCTTACCCCCTTCATGAGAAGCTGAGTTCTCACAGATGTAGATGTAGCCTGACTGTTGTACTGTATCCACTGGTCTCTCTTTTAGGAATAGTTGTATTTGTTGTATTTTCAAAAATATATATGGTTTTTGGAAGGAGATTTCTGCTGCCCTACTCACGCTGCCATTTTGGCTTCTTCCACATCATATATCAGCTATAGGTTTTTTGTAGATGTTTTTGAGAAGTCAAGCTGAGGAAGTTTCCCTGTATTCCTAGTTTGCTGAGGATTTTTAATCATAAGTGGGTGATTGTCAAATGCTTTTTTCTGTATTTATTGATATAATCATGATTTTTCTTCTATAGTCTATTGATATGAAAGATAACACTAATTGATTTTTGAATGTTGAACCAGCTTTGCATACTTGGGATAAATCCCACTTGGACATGGCATATAATTCTTTTTATTCATTGTTGAATTTGATTTGGTAATATTTTATTGAGGATTTTTGCATCTGTGGTTCATGAGAGATATTGGTGTGTAGTTTCCTTGTGATGTCTTTTTCTGATTTTGGAATTGGGGTAATGCTGGCCTTATAGAATAAGTTAGGAAGTATTCCCTCTGCTCTATAATCTTCTGAAAGAGATTATAGAGAACTGGTAGAATTTCTTCCTGAAATGTTTGGTAGAATTCACCAGTGAATCCATTTGGGCTATGTGCTTAATTCTTGAAAAATGAATGCTGGGATAAATTTATGTGGTTTTACAGGAGACTTGATTACTTTGGGGCATTTGAGAGTAAAGCCACAGCCTTGTACGTATGGGAGGGGCTTCATCTGCCGGGAGAAGTCATTCACTATGAAAAGCAGGCAGTATGGAGTCTCTGCTCAAAGATCATGTTGCTCTGGAACTCCCTGCAATACAACTTACTGATCTATAAGAGCACCAGGTTTGTATCAGGTGACTTCCTTTCTTACCTACCCCTACTCTTGATTGGACCAGGGATGAACATCTGATATAAAAAGCTGGACCAATCAGATTATTTTCCCAGGGATTTGGGATTTAGGACTAAGAAGCAGTTACTCAGGTTCTCCATAGAGGAACTGCGGTATTCTAGACACAGGAGTTGTGAACCAGATGTTAGAATTGTTATACCAGACAGGTGTAAAGTTCTGCCTGATGAAAGAGAAGAATGAGAGGTTGCTGGGAACAAGCAGAGCAGGGTTGAGGGGCTGTGGGGTGGAGAACCTCAGAAGACTCTGCCCTGGGCTCAAGAAAGGACAGAGAAAGTGTATCATGGATTGCATATCTCAGGTCTAAGGATGGGGTGGGTGGCATGCTTCTTTGGTTGGTTCCTGTAGAGGGAAGTGAAATGATGTAGTCCCCAGAGGGAACACAAGCAGTGGGGATAGGAATTAAACAGGAAAAGGTACTGTGTGTTTATTCTTTTGAAACTGATGGACAGAGACCAGGACAGAAGGGTCCTGGGAAAAAAGTCCAGGATATTCAGTATGTGGTATCTCTATAGTCTGCTGCAGAGGGCCAGGCCTTGACTTCTGTTGGGAGGGGAAGAAAGGGATGTGGAAGCTGAAGCAAGAATCCAAGTCTGGGCTAGAGTAATGAAGCTTCCCAAAATGGAGTAACTGAGGACTTAAGCAGGACTGGGTCCAACCCACCTCTACTTCTCCACCCGCCCATACCTAGCCCTTCAGTCACCAGAGGAAAACCACAAATAAAATCTATGGCCTTGGAAACACAAAAAGTCAGAGGGATCTTATTTAAATAAACTTTAATTAGAAGTAAACTGGAGAGCTTTGAGTGCAAATACATTTTGGTTTTTAACCAAGAGACTTCATCCCATTGTTAACTCAGGTGTGCCTGCGTGTGTGCGTGTGTGTGTGTGTGTGTGTGTGTGTGTGTGTGTATAGGTCACAGCCCTCTCTGTGCATATTTTTGTCCCCTTGTGTGTCTACTGAGAAGGTGTGGTCTTGTCTTTATTATTATTAACTGTCATTATTCATTCTGCTTGAAGAATCCTGAATCGCCTACAGTCACCTTCCTTTATGCAGGCTCCCCAAAGCCACGTCACTGGGAAGAGTGCAGGTGAGGCTGGGGTGGGTCCTGAGGTATCCTAGGCCACGGCTGCCGAGTTGGGGTGAGGCCTCAGCTTTTTGACTCCACCGAGTAGGAGTACCGTTTTCGGGGGCAACCCCAGAAGCGCAGAACCACAAACGTCACGATCCCCAGCAGCAAGAGGACGCCCAGAGCTCCAAAGAGGATCCCGAAGAAGGCGCCGAGTTTCACGCTCAGGTACTCACAGCGCACACCCCAGGGCGTGTAGATGGAGAAAGGCACACAGCTAGGATCAGAGCGAGGGGCCGCGGTCAGCAGGGCGGGTGCTAGCGCTCAGCCTCTCCGCCCTCTTTTCCCAGGCAGGGCCAGAGAGGTTTTCAACCCCACGCTGGGCTCCCCCGACGCCAGGGAAAGAGGCGGAGTCAGCCCTGGGGCGGCGCTGAAGCGAGGCCACCGCTCCAGAGGCTGACCGGCTAGCGAATTCACCGGGTCATCCTGACCGGAAGGGGGTGGGGCTCGCCGCAGGCGAGCATGCGCAGTCCCAGACCCCGCCCCGCCCAAAAGGGCTGCCTGGCACACCCAAACCCTGCACCAACGCTCTGCCCTAGGACCCGGAGCTGAGGGGGCTGGCGAATGTCGAGCTGCACTGCTGACGAGGGTGGACGGAAGGTACTAGTGTAACAAGAGGGCCTGGGTGGCGCTTCCCTGTCCCCTCATGGAGAGCCTCTCAGACTGTTCCTGAGCGAAGGAAACAGGGCGCCAGGTTTCGGGGTCTCTTCTGACGGGTACTCTTAAGGAGGGGCCAGGCCTAGACACCAGTTGGTAGCTTTTCACAAGGAGTAAAGTCAAGTGGAAGAGTTTGGCTTTGGAATCCATATCCTGCTACCTAACTTACTGGGTACCGTGGGCAGGTTGCCTATCATCTCTAAGCTCTAATTTTCTCATCCTTAAAATGGTTATAATACCTACCTAGTGGCTGGTTTGAGTTTTAGAGGAAGTACAGCATATTTATTCTCTACACCGAGTAGACACATATCTTTTCTATTGTCCCCTTTTCTCTGATTCCTGTTCCCTCCACTGCAAAGGGAACCGTCCTAATTTTAAGACACCATGAGCTACCATGGCATTTCTGGAGCCCTAGCAGAATCTTTGCCCAGCTTGGATTACCCTTGATCTTGCCCCCTGCCTCACTCACCTGCAGCAGGGCCCATTGGGCAGGTGCTGGCACTGGCCTCCGTGCTCACAGTAGCCCTCACGACACGGGGACACGCAGGTGAGGCCTCTCTGGGGGTTGTAGACCATGTGGTAGCCCTTGTAGCCATTGCACTGGAAGTAAGTCTTCAGTGTGCTCACGTTCACTGTCACGTAGGACACAGATGAACACAGAGAGTAATCTATTAACACCACATTCATACCTTTTCAATCAAGAATGCCATTTTCAACCATTTATCCTGGAAAATTATTAGAAAAGCACACAAATACATATGTTCATGGAAGTCCAGAGCAGCATGGTGTATAATAGCAACAATATTTGGCAGGTGGGGTTTTATCAAATAAAGAATATTACACAATAAGCAATATATAGCAGTAGGGAAAATGCATCGGTTAAGAGGATATGCTTTGAAATCAGCCAGAACTGAGGTGAAATTCAAACTCTCCTACTAACTAGTTGTGTGATTTTGGGGAACTTTATTTTTTTCAGCCTCAGTTTACTTTCTTTAAAGGAAAGGATGATAATAGTATCTACCTCACTGTGAAGTTTAAATAAGATAATACTATGCAGAATATTCAGTACTTTGTCTGACACAGTATGTGCCTAATAAACTGTTACTATTAGTATAACATTCTATTTAAAATATAACCTACTCTATTAAGACATTATAAAATAATATATGTGGGAATATATACACAATATACAAGGTAATATGTTTATAATTGTTTAATGAGGTTATCAAACATTAGGTGTGATTTGATCCTTTATTGTAAAAAATATATGTGTGAAGGTTTCTATGCATAAAAGAATATTCAGAAGGATATGTACAAGTGCACTTGTCTCTGGGGATGGGATTACAGATGATCTTTTTCTTTTCTTTTTGCTAATTTGTGTTTCCTAAAGTTTCTACTTGTATAATAAAAACTGTGGGGCGATTCTGTTTTCTTTAACAAAAGGCAGAGCCAGATCCGGGGTGGCTGTTCCCTTATTCCCACCCCTACCCCTGCCACACATACACATAGCAGTTTGGAGGACTTCACATTGTTGCCTCTAGGAGGGAGGAGGCTCAGCCTGGATTCTAGAAGAAGCTCTTGCGTGGTCTGGGACCCAAATAACCACAGCGGCTTCTGTTGGGTTTGGCATGCTCACTGCCCTGTTCTCTGCCTCCCTCCCCAAGTACGGTGGGCTATTCCTTTCCACTCTGGCAGATTTGCCAACCTGTCTCCTTCCAATGACAGGATAATCAGGACAAATTAACAGGGTCCCACCCTTTCAGGGAGGGGATTTCTCTGCCCCTGGGCCATGTCTCCAGCCTTCAGCTTAATATCCTCCACCTGGAGGGCAAAGGCAAAAGGGATGTCATTGCTTATGTTTATGAAGCTCAGTGGTATTTTAACAAAATGATTAATCGTTAAAAAAAAGAAAAACATTAGCAGCGATGGTTAGGAAGGTGGCAGTTACAGTAATTGTTCGGTGAAACTGTATACATGGGGATTCATCAAACAGTATTTTGTGTTTGTCTTGAATCTAGAAAGCTTGTGAATAAAATGTTTGCAATTTCTCTCAAAAATTAAAAACAAAAAACCTAAATTAACTTGCTTCCTGCTGGTCTGCGGCCCTCAGTAGAATACGTTTCCATCATGCGTTGTGTGGGAAAGCTGGGATTCCTATAGCCAGGATCCTCACTGAACTTAAACCACTTGTTGAATGTAACTGGCCTGTTGCTAGGCTACCACTTCCACACCTTTAGGCAATAACTATTACTGCGCTATATAGAGAGTTCGGTCCGGTGCTCTGGGTGGAGGCAGAGACGCTAGTGTTCGACCTACCACCTGAAGAACAAGCCAGATAATAAACCCTTTCACCCCAAGAACGTTCTACTGTTATTTCTTTGGTCACACTGAATCCATAGTGAACTTGCCTAGAGCTAAAACCCATTGACAAGACAGTCATTGGGCTGAAGATCTGTGACAGGTTCCTCTCTTTGTCTCCTGCCTCAGCTATCCCTGTAACTGTCCCCAAGATAGTGACTCACAAGCCATCACGCTGTACACATCCTCCCTGGAGATGGGGTAGAAGACCACGTTGTTCCTGGGCCCCTCACTGCTCTTCTGCCTCATGCCCGAGGTCTGGAGTAAGAATGCCTGCACCACTGCATCCAGCAGCTGGGTGTTCAGGAAGTGGATGACCGGGCCCTGAGGGAGGTACTGGAACTTGGAGGTGACCCTCCAGTGTTGAAGGCAGCGTCCAGAGGCCAGTGCCATAGGGGGATTGCTGTGTGGAAGGGGTACTGTGAGGGGTTGAGAAGGAAGCACAGGATCCAGGGACCAGGTGGGGGCATTCCCACTTACATTTGTTGCACATCGCTGTTCCAGAGAAAGGCCCCCGTGTCCAAGTTCCCCAGTCTGTAGGCCACCTGGGGCAGCAGATGGGGGTAGGGGACATGAGGGAGGAGGGTGAGGCCCAGTCCAGAGAGGATACCTCTCCCACTTTAATACGTTTATGCATCTCTGTTTCCTTCTTTGTGAGCCCCAGGATGCCCAGAATGTTTGTCACCCGTCTCTGCACCCACACACCACAGCCTCGCTCAGGGCTTGGTATGGGTCCCCGCTTAATGACAGCTTGTTGGTGAATGAAGGACTTTACATACCTCTCCCTCACCCGTGGCTCCTGCCTCCTGTTACAAGTGGAGAATCGGAAATGAATAGCCCCTACCTTGCCTCTGATCCCTGACTCACCCACTCATTCTCTCCCCTTGTGCAGACTGAACATCAGTTATGTTTATGCAGACCTAGGGGATCAGGTGCTGGGATGTCAAGGGGACTAAGGAACAGTCAGTACTCAAAGACCCATAGTCTGGTGCAGTAGACAAATGTCAGCAGATTTACCATACAAAGTATGAGGTGCTGTTCTAACAGTAGTAGCAATAATAATAATTTTTGAACACTTACTGTGTTTCAGGCACCATGCTACATGTATTATCATTTAATTAACACCTTGACACAACCCATTGACATAGATACTATTATTTCTATTTTTACAGATGAGACAGCACATAATTTGTCTAATTATTATTACCTGCTCTAATGAGTGGTAGAGCCAGGATTTGAACCCAGGTAGGTTAGGCTTCTAGAGCTTCAATAATTCAACTATGGGCTACTTTGCCTGTGATTGAGGAATAGACAAGGACATAGGAGCCCCTAGTTCCCTCTGAGAAGTCAGGGAAGGCTTCCTGGAGGTGAAATGCCTTCTCATGTTTCTTCCCTAGAATATCCAAGTGCAGGTCTTGAGGGACTCAGAAAGAGAGGTTGGGTGACTTGGCCACCCTAGACTCCTGTTTTCTGAGAGCTGGTCCTTCCAGCCCCGTTGAAGGTCTCCGTCCAGGGGCTTCCTGCCTTCCTCACTCCCTGCCTTCCCTAGGGCAGGAGGCTCCAGCCTCCCCTAGCCATTGAATCTAGATGTACAATGGGAAGCAGAACACAAATGATGGCTAAGACCTCCCTCTGAGCCTGCCCAGAGCCCCCTCCCCACCCAGAGCTGGCCTGCAGTACTGACCGAGGCATTGACCTCTGCCATGGAGGCATTTTCTTCTTCACTGAGTGAGAGCTGGATGATTCTTTCGGGAAGCTCTGGAGATGGGAGAAGCAGATTCATATCACCTCTCAGGCTCATCCAGACTTACCCAAAGAGGCTCCCCATTCTACAGTGACAGAAAGTCCCTGGAGGAATCAGAAGCGGCTGAGGTGGCTGACCCTCACCTTAGTGTTCATTTGATTATGATCAGGACTTCCTGACTCTCTTCTAACCAGACCATGAGGTCACTTCAGTCCCTCCTCAGCAGACCACTCAGGCCATGGCTCATGCTGTGACAGCTGCCCACCCCCCTACTCGCCCCCACAGCTGAGAGAAACTGGGAGTTCTCTGGGAGTTCAAGGAACTTGACCCTGGCCTCCGGAGCCTCCCGTCTTCCTCCCAAGGCAAGAGAAGTGAGGAGGTGGGCACGACAGGCATCTGGTGGTACCTAGAGGGATGGTCGGGATGAAGTTGTTCCCAGCCAGGAAGCAGCGGTTGTCAGTGAAGGCCGGGGGGCAGCTGCAGGTGGGCTGGCAGTCCGGAGCCTGGGAGATGAAGCAGTGGCCACGGTTGTAGCAGTAATCCACAGGGCAGGACTTGTTCCAGCAGAGGGAAGAATTCTGCAGAGCTGCAGAGGGAGCAGAGGTTGGCAACACTCCGCCGGGCAGCTGGAGGATCCCCCGGCCCAAGGAAAGCTGCTGTCAGGACGGGCTTGGGTTCTTTTCCCCAAGAGCCTCCTGCTTGTGAGCCACTCTGAACCCCAAACTATCCTTCTCCCTTTTCCAGACATTACTCTCCTGGGTAGCCCTTTTCCTCTTCCAAATAGGTCTCTTCCCACTTATGCTGAGAGAAAGGAGTTCATCAGACCCTCTGCCTCGGGAAAGGAACCAGAGGCTGGTGGAAGAAGGGCCTGCTTTCTTCATATCCACCCCCTTTTCTATGTTTATAAGACTGTGGTTCTACCCACTCTGGCCTCTGCTCAGAAGGCACAGTGGTCTCTAGATTTCATTTGGGAATTTTAGGGGACTGAGTGGAGCCCTAACTATGACCTTCCTCATCACGACTCCGGTGACCCTGAGGTTGAGGAACAGCCAGCAGAAGGAGCACTCAGGACAAATGAGGCTCTGCTGCAGCCAGAAGCCCAGGGCAGCCCCTCCAAATGTGCTGGCTGGGGAGGTGCGGAGACCCTGGCCAACTGGCAGATGCTTGCCTCTGGTTCCCTGGCTGCTGCTGGAAGTCTCTTCCTTTCTCCAGGTTCTGGGTTTTCTTCATCAGTGCCTCAGAGCATCTCTGCCCTGGCCTCTTCCCTACACCTGTACCATCTCTTCTCCTTTGGCCTCATGCTTTACAATACCACCTATAACAAGCACTCCAAGGACAGCAGGAAAAGGGAATGAAATAGTTTGCTCTTGGCTGTGCTGGGCCCTCAAAGTGTCATCTGTCCCCAGAACCACCTCCTGCCAGGGCCCTGTTCCAGGCTGACCTGCACAGTGACGTCCATCCCCAGTCATGTTCAGGGGGCAGTCCTCACAGCCCTTCCCAGGAATGCACTTCACATTCTGGAAACACTGCTCCTCACACAGGTCCTTGGGCCGTTCACAGAAGCGGCCGAAGGTGTTCGCATCACACTTGCAGCCGGCCACCTGGAACGGGTTGCTGGTCACCGGGTCGCCAGGAGGCTGGACTATGAAGGGCTTCTGTGTTGTCCCCCTGGCCTGAGAACCCATGAACCCTTCTGAAACCTTGTCTTCATTCTGCCAGAATCTACTGACCACCTTCCTACCGGGCCGTGGCCTGCACATCCTTGCCCAAAGACAAACTGTCCCCCAGCCCACTCGGCCTCCCTGGGCCAGTCTATCCCCTGCCCTCTCTGCCTGGCCCTTCCCCAGGATCTCAGCCTTTTCCCTCTCACACCATATCTCCTTGCCTGAAATCCTTTCTAGAGTAAGACGGGCTAAATAAGTAAATATTCTACTATCCCTTGTAAACAGGATCCCATGCAAACCGCGCTTTCCTAGTCTACCTCCCTTGTTAACTCTCAGATCAAGAAGACAGAATCTCACTGCTAAGCACAGCCAGGACACAGTAACCAGAGCAGTGGCACCGGGAGGTAACAATTCCAGAAGCCAAGCTCATCGAGCTCCTGGCCTCTCTTTTCTGACTCCCCTGCTGAGATGACTGGAAATCTCCCTAAAATGGAACCCTCCAACACTTTCCACCTCCAAGACTGGATATTTTAGGCCATCTAGAATTATTATATATATATTTTAAATCTTTTTCCTACTCTGTATTTTGTTTCCTTTTCCACCTCCTGGGCTTCACCACCTCTACCCCTTTCAAGGAGAAGGGGATGTGTGTGTGTAAGGGTGAAGGGGGCAGTGGGGTAGTGCCAGCCAAACACTTTTCTGGCTCCTGCTTTACAACAGCAGCAACGAAAAATTAAAATAAAATAAAAAGCAGGTGGGGCAAGATTCATGGACTTAGGCTGTGTATCTTGTTTAGAACTTTGAATGGAGAAAGATTTTCTCCAAACTGAAACAGAGATCCTTCTTTTAGTTGGAGAGAGAGAGTAAAAGAGAAACTAATGGAGTTTGGGGGTGCCAAGGTCAGAGGGGAACTGCATCTCTGTTGCTAACACCAGGACGATGAGAACCCAGAAATAGCTGGGCAAAGCTTCCAAGTAGATGGGCTCTTAAGTCACCTTATAAAAGGCATCCTGTATATGAGCAAGGCCCAGCAGCCAGGCACCTCCTGGGTCTGAAAAGGAGGGAGCATGGAGCTTATGATCTATGTAAACTCATGCCCAGGGACCACACGGACATGCTACCCCACACCTCCGTGCCTTGTTCCAGAACCATGGAGCTGGGGACCACTGGGGAACTCTGAAAAAGGCCAAGGTGGAAATTTCCTACCAGCCTGGCAGAATGGGAGGTGGGAGATAAACATTCAGTTGAGCTATAAGCAGTAAAGAAAGTTCTATTTCTTACAAACTTAAGTTTGTGGTCTGAGATTAGTATCTGCTCTACTCATCTACCACAATACCACTTACCTCCCAACACAGAAGGGCTGTATTATAACATCCCTTCAATTCCCACTATCTCTCCCCTCAATACGGCACTATTTACAATAGCCACCTGCTTTTTTTTATTTTAATTTTCCGTTGTTGCTGTTGTAAAGCAGGAGCCAGAAAGGAAAAGTGTTTGGCTGGCATTACCCCACTGCTTTTCTCTCACCCTCCTCCCAACACTTACCTCCAGGGAGGAGATGCCCATCCGGCTTGTCTGGTTGTACAGACACTGGCTGTCTTCCCTGCAAGCGCAGACCACTGTCTTCGGCTGGAGGACAGATGATAAGTTGTCCTTGACATTCCTTGCTAGAATCTCCAGAGTGAATGGTTCCAGGGACTTTGGTGTCCATAGAAATGTCCCATTTTCTGCCCCGGGGAAGACGAGATTGTTGAGGGCTGGGAGCCTGACCTGCTGTGCTGTCTGGCACATCCTGGCATGTGGCAACCTGAGTGCTAATGCTAGACACCCCCTACCCTTCTCAGACCACCCCTCAAATCTCATCAGGCATTTCCTTGACAAGGCTGAGTTTGACCCTTTGATCCAGATCATGGTTACAGTCCTGGAGGTCCCACATCTTTACTGAAAGGGAGAGGTGGAGCTTGACTTGGCCCCAGCACAGAAAAACAGACAAGGAGAGAAACAGGTAGGTAAACATGGTTGGCAGACATAAAAATAGGGAGAAGTATACCAAATGAAGTTATTTGTATTTATTCAGATCTTGTTCTACATTACATCCTTCTTTTAATAGATGTAAAAGTGTTTTAAATTAATTTTTATATTTATTTTTAAACTTTATTCTGGTATCATTAATATAAAATAACATGGGCAACATTGTAGTTACTATATACCCCCCATTATCAAGTTCCCACCACATACCCCATTACAGTCACTGTCTATCAGTGTAGTAAGATGCTACAGAGTCACTAGTTGTCTTCTCGGTGTTATACAGCCCTCCCTGTGCCCCCCCTACATTATGTGTTATAATCATAATGCCCCTTATTCCCCTTCTCCCTCCCTTCCCACCCATCCTCCCCAGTCCCTTTCCCTTTAGCAACTGTTAGTCCATTCTTGGGTTCTGTGAGTCTGCTGCTGTTTTGTTCCTTCAGTTTTTGCTTTAACTCCGCAGATGAGTGAAATCATTTGAGATTTTTCTTTCTCCACCTGGCTTGTTTCACTGAGCATAATACCCTCTAGCTCCATCCAAATTGTTGCAAATGGTAGGATCTGTTTTCTTCTTATGGCCAAATAATATTCCATTGTGTATATGTACCACATCTTCTTTATCCATTCATCTACTGATGGACACTTAGGTTGCTTCCATTTCTTGGCTATTGTAAATAGTGCTGCGATAAACATAGGGGTGCATCTGTCTTTTTGAAACTGGGATCCTACATTCTTAGGGTAAATTCCTAGGAGTAGAATTCCTGGGTCAAATGGTATTTCTATTTTTAGTTTTCTGAGGAACTTCTATATAGCTTTCCACAGTGGCTGAACTAGCTTACATTCCCACCAGCAGTGTAGGAGGGTTCCCCTTTCTCCACATCCTTGCCAACATTTCTTGTTCCTAGTCTTTTCTATCTTGGCCATGTGAGGTGATATCTCATTGTGGTTTTAAGTTGCATTTCCTAGGTAATTAGTGATGTGGAGCATCTTTACATGTGCCTGTTGGCCATATGAATTTCTTCTTTGGAGAAGTATCTGTTCATATCCTCCACCCATTTTTTAATAAGGTTATTTGCTTTTTGGGTGTTGAGGCATGTGAGTTCTTCATATATTTTGGACGTTAACCCCTTCTTGGATATGTCATTTACAAATATATTCTCCCATACTGTAGGATGTCTTTTTGTTCTACTGATGGTATCCTTTGCTGTACAGAAGCTTTTTAGCATGATGTAGTCCCATTTGTTAATTTTTTATTTTGTTTCCCTTGTCCGAGGAGATGCCTTCAGGAAAACGTTGCTCATGTTTATATTCAAGAGATTTTTGCCTATGTTTTCTTCTAAGAGTTTTATGGTTTCATGACTTACATTCAGGTCTTTGATCCATTTTGAGTTTACTTTTGTATATAGGGTTAGACAATAATCCAGTTTCATTCTTTTGCATGTAGCTGTCCAGTTTTGCCAACACAAACTGTTGAAGAGGTTGTCATTTCCCCATTGTATATCCATGGCTCCTTTATCATATATTAATTGACCATATATGCTTGGGTTTATATCTCATCTCTCTAGTCTGTTCCATTGGTCTATGGGTCTGTTCTTGTGCCAGTAGCAAATTGTCTTAATTACTGTGGCTTTGTAGTAGAGCTTGAAGTCAGGTAGCACAATCCCCCCAGCTTTATTCTTCCTTCTCAGGATTGCTTTGGCTATATAGGATCTCTTGTGGTTCCATATGAATTGTGGGACTATTTGCTCTAGTTCGTTGAAGAATGCTGTTGGCGTTTTGAAAGGCATTGCATTGAATCTGTAGATTGCTTTAGGCAGGATGACCATTTTGACAATATTAATTCTTCCTATCCATGAACACGGGATGTGTTTCCATTTATTGGTATCTTTAATTTCTCTCATGTGTGTCTTGTAGTTTTCAGAGTATAGTTCTTTCACTTCCTTGGTTAGGTTTATTCCTAGGTATTTTATTCTTTTTGATGCAACTGTGAATGGAATTGTTTTCCTGATTTCTCTTTCTGCTAGTTCATCATTAATGTATAGGAATGCAACATATTTTTGAGTATTAATTTTGTATCCCACAACTTTGCTGAATTCAGATATTAGATCTAGTAGTTTTGGAGTTGATTCTTTAGGGTTTTTAATGTACAATATCATGTCATCTGAAAACAGTGACAGTTTGACTTCTTCCTTACCAATCTGGATGCCTTTTATTTCTTTGTGTTGTTTGCCATAGCTAGGACCTCAAGAACTATGTTGAATGAAAGTGGGGAGAGTGGGCATCCTTGTCTTTTTTCCAATCGTAAAGGAAAAGCTTTCAGCTTCTTGTTGTTATGATGTTGGCTGTGGGTTTGTCATATATGGCCTTTATTCTGTTGAGGTACCTGCCCTCTATATCAATTTTGTTGAGAGTTTTTATCATGAATGGATGTCGAATTTTGTCGAATGCTTTTTTAGCATCTATGGAGATGATCATGTGGTTTTGTGTCCTTTTTGTTGATGTGGTGGATGATATTAATGGATTTTCGAATGTTGTACCATCCTTGCATCCCTGCAATGATTCCCACTTGATCATGATATAGATGATCTTTTTGATGCATTTTTGAATTCAGATTGCTAATATTTTGTAATATTTTTTAATTGTTGCACTTCAATAATTTGGTGATTATATAAAGATGATTAGAGATGATTGCTTATTATTAGGTTGAGATGAAATGATCTTCGAATCCATTTACCTGCCCAGAGGTAGTCTGGCTAGCTGGCCAGACCTCCATAAGCCCATCACTACTACTCATGGGGGATCTCTTTGAATTTTAGGGGTCACTCATAAAAAATGCTGGTTCTGGATATTCCAGTGGAAAAATGACATGAAGTTGCGAAGGATATAATAATACAAAATTACCCAAAGCTTGACTCTGACCTCAATCCCTAGACCCCCAGCCAAGAGTTCTTACCAAGGAGCTTGAAATTGGGGTTGCTGCTTCTGAGAGTGAATGTGACATCCTCAGAGCTGCTGGTGTACTGAAGTTTCCTGGTCTGCCCTATGTAGGCTTCCACCACATGATTGCCCATGATAGAAGGTGGGTACTGATCTGAAATACAGAGAGGGAATTGGGGTCTGAGGCAGGACCCTTTCTTGCCTATGGATCTCTTTTCTCTTTCTCTGGTCCTCTGGCTTATGTGAGGCATTCTCAGAGCTGTGACCCACCTCTGGAAAGAGGAATTATTCGGGGTTTCTGCTCTCAGACCCTGTGTAGAGCAGATAGGAGTCGTACTGCCCACCTGGCCAAATCTCTGCTTTTTCTTTATCTTCTTTCCAAACAGGATTCAAATTCTTTCATGATCAGAGTGCTATGCTGGGCATGGTACAAAGTGAATTAGAGAACAGGGTTGTTCAAACCATCACAGAAATTTACCTTTGGAAGAGGGCTGGAAACCATGAGGATAATATCCAGGTGGGCATTGCATTTGTCAGGAAATAGAAAGGGAGTAAAATTTTTCATTGGTCTCTGTTTTTTGGAGCCCTGCAACTTCTATTTCATTGTTTGTTTATTCATTCAGCTACTTAACAAATAGTAATTGAGCACCTGCTATATGGCAGGCACTGTTCTAAGTAATGAGGACACAGCAGTGAAGAAAAAATGAAAGATACCTATGAAAACTGGGAGATAGGTTAGTTATAAATGCTAAGGAGAAAAAATAAAGCAGGGAAGGTGAGTAGAAAGTGTGGGTGAATGTGAAATCTTAGACGGGATAGCCAAGAAGGGCACTGCAGAGAGAGAAGGTGACTCCACTTGTATAGAGACTTGAAGGGTCTGTGGCTGTCTGGGGGAAAGGTATTCTAGACAAAGGGAATAGCATGTGCAGAGTTTCAGATTTAGGAGTGAACCTGGTATATCTGGAGGACACAGAGAAGCCAGTGGGGCTAGAGTGGAGGGGCTGGAGCAGGAAAAACTAGGAGAAGAGTTTTGAGAGATGATGGCAGGGCTTTGAAGGTCATCATAAGGACAGGATGAACTGGTTGTCATGGAAGGTTTGAGCAGTCGAAGAACATGAGCAAAAGAATATTAGATCTCCAAAAATGCATAGCTTAAAGGAATGTCATGTCAAGGGGGCTCCTCATCTGCCCCCTAAGTCTGCAGACACCTCCCTGGGCCTCATGCCACTTACTGAGGGTGATATTTATTGTCTGGTATCTTCTGAAGAGCATCTGAGTGTACAGTCCAATGGTTGTGTTTTGTGTAGCCAGGGTGTCATAGATGCATTGCTCTTCTCCATTGCACTCGGAGGTCAGATTTCCATCCAAGGATTTGTTTCCCAACAGTTGGGAAAGGAAGACAGGGGTGAAATTGGAAGGCAGATGGTCGTCCCTCTTGCCAAAGAGGCTTGTTTCGTTGACTTTCCCTGTAACACATGAGGCACGATGACGATGGTACCAGAGATGGGACCCCAGCTATAACTCTGCAGGGTCCACCCCTCACCCTCACTTCATATGGTTTGGGGCAGGGGGCGTGGAGGGACAGAGTGACTTCTGGCTTCTGAGGTTGGAAATCCCCACTGTAGTGAGTGAGGGCCACCCACTCTCCTCGTCCTCTCTTCTAGGTAGAGACGCAGATGGGATGGGGTGGATGGGACATATCTTCAGAGTTCCCCCCTGGCCTTTCCACCCTCTTTCATAAGGGACATAGGTCTGGTTCCCACAGGCCTAAGAGACAGTGTGCACAGCTTCCTTTATCCTGGCCCCCCACCATCTGCCCTGAGGACTCTGGGGCCCAGACTCACAGGTCATTCCATAGTGAAAAAGGGTTTCCTCAGAGCTCCCTGGGGGAAGTGTGGAGCCATCGGGCATCCTGAAGTCATCACCAGGATCATCATTCCAGACCCCTGGGGGACAGAGCAGGAGGTCAGCCACCCTGGAGCTGTGGCTGAACCTTCCCTCGGGAGCAGCCAGTGGGTCACACTCTTAGGCTCGGAGGAGAGGGGCACCTGGAAAGCGTCTTTCTCTTGCACCTTGGTTGTGGTTTGTCTTGCCCAGGAGGGGAGAGCAGGGAAGAGGACCATAACAGCACGGCCCAGCCCTCCGTTTAGGAATGGGAGGAGAAAATGAAGGAGGAAAGAGAGGAAGCAGGGAGGGAACACTGGGGAAGGAGAGAGGAGAGGCAGGGTGGGAGGCCTGAGGGAGGGGACAGTCAGGGGGCTGTGGGGTCCACCCTCCCCAGGGCCCATCCCCAGAGCTTCCTGGGCATCCCTGGAGCCGAGCTTTAGGACAGGATGTGAACCTCAAATGCAGCCAAGCAGGTCTCTGTCCTCCCTGCCATCTGGGCCCTCAGGGCTCTGTCCAAGGAGGCTGAGAGAGGGGCAGTGAGCCTGGACGTCTGCAGGCCATCGGAGGGGCTACCTGCTTCTTACCCAGGAGGCCCCCTGTGCGGTCTCTATACTCCTCTGGGAGGCTGCAGGAGGCATGCAGGATGTTGGAGAGAGCGATCACTGACACAGTCACCGTCCCATCGAAGCAGGCTGACACCAGGGAGCCATTGCGGGTTATTACAACTCCAGTGTCATTGAATATCTCTTGGCCTGGAACATTGGGAGACGGATGAGGAAAAACCAGCATTGGAAGCCTGCAGACCTGAGACTTGGCAGTAGTGAAGTTCAGGATGCAGAGAAGAGACTGAGAGCAGCTCTTGTGGTGTCCTGAGGGTGCCTTCCCCAGGGGCCCCAAACTAAGTCCATAGGACACCCTCAAGGCCCATGCCTCTTCCTTCTACCAGGGCACTGAAGACCGGCTGCTGCCCAGAGGCCAGCACAGCTCTGGAGGAAGTCAGGAGTGGGGAGGAAAGTTTAATGGCAGTTCCAGGGTGAAGGTGCTGCACAGGCACAACTCTTGGGACAGCAGGGGTGGCAGCCTCTTTCCTCTGGCGCCCTGCTGACCCTGACCCCGGGCAGCAGGAGAGGGCACCTGGTGGCCACCCCCAGCCTACCTTCTGCATCTTCATGGTTAGTGTCAAATGTCACAGTCTGGTTATTGAGTTGCACATGGATTGTGTCACTGGGCTTAAGAATCCACTGAACCTGGAAGTGAATTGGAGGAGGTCTAAGCCTGGCTGGCAGCAGGGCTCAGAGGGCAAGAAAGGAAGCTGCAGAAAGCTGGGCACCTGAGCCCTGACAGAGGGGCAGGCGATGGGGAGTGTGTCAAGGAGGTGAAGACAGCTAATGTCTACTGAGTGCTTAGCGTGGGCCAGGCTTTGAGCAAGGCACATTCCTTAGCTTATCCATTTAAATCCCACAACAGCCCTGTGAGGTAGGCAATACTGTTAACCCCACTTTACTGTAAGAAAACAGAGGTGCTGGAAATTAAGTCGCTGATTCAGCCACAGCTGGTGGAGCCCAGATCCTAACCCTTCTGACTCTGGGTGACCCTGGCAGGATGCATCCCCCTCCCACCTGCCCCTTCCAGTCTTCCTTCTCTTTCCCCTCCAGGGAGCAGGGATGGCTGGAGCCCCACCTCCCTCACCGTGAAGGGGTCCACCAGGCTGCTGGAGTGGTACTGGGCAGCAAAAGCCACGAAGTTGGAGGCCTGAGCTGAGCCAGTCTGGGCGGTGCGGCCCTGCATCAGGAAGGACGAGTTTCCATCCTGGGCCTGGACCAGCACAAAGTCCCCCAGCCCACTGAAAGTGTAGTTGACACCATCATAGGTGGTGATGTGGGGGTCCCCGAACATCCAAGCTGGAAGAAACGAGAAACTACATTGGCATGGCAGTCCAGGGCAGGGTCTGGGATTTCACACTGTCCCCAGGCAGGGTGCCTGGGAGGTGTTCATGGAGAACAGAATCCTCCCAGAAGCCCTCTGCGTCCCACTTCTGTGTCTCACCCCAGCCATGGCTGCTCATTTTCTCCCCTCCCCTTCCCCAATGCCATGCTCAAAGTTCCTCTATTTGCCACGGGCCACACACTGTAAGCATCCTCATCTTTCCTTGTGGCCACCGCCCTGCCCCAGAAAGCCAATGCTGCCCGGGCCCAGACCCCAAGAGACCGCCCCCCCAGGTCCTCTGCCTGGGCCCTGCCCTGGGAGGTGGGTGGGGGCAGCAGCTCACCAGGCCATGGGGGCCGGTACCCAGCACAGCCGATGTGCAGCCGCCTTTGCTGGTACAGGGCACAGAAGGAGGGCCTGTCATTCCAGCAGCAGCACCAGTTCTGTGGCTCCAGTTCTTGGTCTGTGGAGAAAGGTGGCATGTTGGAGCAGGTGGAGAACCTGCAGACCCCAGCTGGAAGGTTCGGTAGGGCAGGACTCTATGGGCTGCAAGGATATGGCTTGGGAATCAGGCACAGCTTCGCTCAGATCCCACCGTGCTCAAGGACAGAGTTCCTGCCCCCTGCAGTCCTGCTGGACCATGTGCAGCAAAGTGCCAGGTGGGCCGGGCACACGTTCAGAGCTAAAGAACTTCCTTTCTTGAAGGGTGGGGTGCTGAGTCCACTGCTGTCAAAGCGCTGGGGGTGGGAAGGCATGGCTGATGGTCAGGGGATCACGGGGGCTGCAGCGATCCCAGGAAGTCTGGAAGGATACATAGTATCCAGCCCTCCAACCCCATGCTCTCTAGCTCCGTTGGAGGGTCTGTGCCGTCAGGGAGTCATCAGGGAAATGAGTCGGTATCTTCCCCCAGACAGCCTGCTAATCTGCGTCCAGAGGGCCAGGGTCAGAGAAGGGCAGTTGCTGGGAGAGAATGGGAGGTTTCAATCTGCCAGTCCCACTGCTTAGCTTGGAGCCCAGGGCTGATCTCTGACAGGGAAGAGTGGAGAGCTCCAGGGAAGGTGGGGTTGAGATCTCTGTGGACGCACATACCAAACTGCCAAGGAGTCCGCACTGGCCAGCCTGTGAGCAGCTCTCCCCAAGGCCCGTAGCTGCAGCACAAGCCCCCACGCCAGGAGGAGAAGCTGCAGAGCTGCCTGCTGCCGAGGCCCCACCAGCCTGCAACAAGGCCAGACAAACTCAGGTCCATGTGCCTGCGGGGGCGGGGGGTGGTGGCAGGAACAGAGTGCGATGTTTCTGGGAGGGGCTGAGGATGCCCCAGAAGGGACAGGTCAGGTGTGAGCACAGGGATGGTAGGTGAGCTTGTGGGGGACAGCAGGGATGTCCTAAGAGACAGGAAGGAGGTGTTACCTGTGCTGGTGGGCTGGAACCGTAAGTCCCGCAGTCCCTGCTGCCAGGAGCAAGGGCAGGAGACCCGGGGCCAGCCCCAGGCGGGCCACTCAGGCTGTGTTTTTAACCACTGCAGGCACCTGAGGCGGTAGTTGGGTCTTTCTTCCCTGTGCAGCCTATAAACCTGCAACCCCCTGAGACCTGTGGGAGCAAAGAAAGGAAGGGTTATCCCAGGGTCCGGCCACAGGCTCTGCTTTAGCTTTAGCAGCAACCAAACTCAAAAATGGACCCTTTGTTTGCCACTTCTCCCACCCTGGACCGCTCTTCCAGGTTGGGACCCAGTTCAGATTGGCAGTGATTCCTTTTCAGAGGCCCCTTTGATGTGACCTCCCAGTGCCCTCAAAGCTTGGAGCTGAAAGTGAAACCCTGGCACAAGCGCTGGGCATGGAGGCCTCACCTACATGCAACTCAGAGCCAAACATTGGCCCTGGTCTTTGGTCCACCCCATTCACGACCCTCCTATTACTCTAAGCTCCAGAACTTTACAATCCTCCCAAACCAGTTCCTCCTCATGTACGCTGCACCTCAGTGAGTAATGTCACCAGCCACCAGCCACTGCTCCAACATGGGACTTTCATCCTTGACCCTGTCTCTCCCCAAGTACAGATATGTCAGTGGCCAGAATGGCCAGGACAGAGACCGATGCCCAGAGGCCAGCTGGGGAGCCACAGAGAAGGTGGCATGAGAAGCAGGGGCTCGCTCCAACCCCACAAGACTAAGGAAGCTTCCACTCTGCCCAGACGCCATCCTTGGAAGGGAGAAGTAACGGGGAGAAGAAACTTTGATAGGGCTTATGAACTTTGAATAGACCCTTACTTGATTGTAAGTTAGGTACTGCCCAGCCCAGCAGCTGGCAGTGAGAGGGGGCTCCAGAGTCCAGCGAGCAAGAAACAAGGGGACAGATGTATTAGATTTTGACTCTGTCCCCACATAAAAGAAGAAACTATCAAGATAACTATAAGCCATTAAGGCTTTAGAAAGAATCATTGTTTATGATTATTCATGTATCTTCTCCACAATGGCCTATATCGGGGGAAACATATCAGATTCTCACCCCAACACACACACACACACACACACACACACACACACACACACACACTCATTGTGCATTGTGCCCCCAGGTCACAAGTGATGGATGCATCCTGACAGAAGGGCCCCTGTCGGACAGGGGAGCTCTGTCCACTAGATGGCACCCATGGTTTGACTTAGCTCCTGATTACCAAAAGTTCTTACCACACAGACAGAACTGGATTTATGCTTCAAAATTTACATGGCTGATGTCTTTTCTAAAATGTCCTTTGTTCTATTCACATTTTGGAAACTATAATTCCTTTCCTTCTGGGGCCTCTGGACAGTACTCGTGTACTGGTGTACTGGAGTACTGGTGATACTAAAGGACCAGCCTTCTTACCAGAGTGAGAGCATTCTGAGGGCAAACACAGTCTTTTTTACTTCTTTCATATTTCTGCCTTCTGCACAGTGCCCAGCACACAGCAGGTGCTCAGTGATTGATGACTCAGTGGCAGTCAGACCTCAGGGCTTCCTCTTGGCAGATTCCCTTATGGGAGCTCACCCGGGTCCTCCTTCCAGCTCTGGCACAGGACACTAGGAGTATTATTCTAAATGCCCATTCATATCCCACCTCCTGCCACACCCCTGCCCTCGTGTTTAGGACCTGGGCCCCCAGTGAGAGACCTCTTGGGTTTGGCTCATGCCAGGGAGGAGATGTGGCCCCAGCTGAGGCTGCACTACGTCAGGGCTCAGAAGGTGCCAGCAGCTCCCTGGGCAGGGCCGAGTCCCCATTACACCCCTGGGAGGTTGGGTTGTGCTGGGTTTACCTGGATGGTGGAGAGGCTGTGGAGCTGCCCCTCTGACCTGTCATGGCACACACATGGGAGGCCAGAAGAGCCCAGCTCAAGTGTGATCAGGGGGCACTTTTACCTGAGTTGGGTTCCAGGAACTGGTCTGGACGATACTTCTTCCACACTGGCTGCGATGTCAGTGGGCTGTTTTCCGAATACCCATCTCCACTGCAGACAACAGAAAGAATCGTGGGCCAGTGTCACACATGGGGTCTTTCCTCTCGGTTGGCAAGCTATCTGTTCTTTTAGTCCGTGGGGCAGCAAGTCACTCACTCAGTGCAGCTAGTCGTTAGTTGTTAGCTGGTCAATTACTCAGTCAGTTGGCCAGTCAGCCAGCCAGAATCACTGTCTCCCAGCACTAAGCAGAGAGAGGAAGAGATGGACAGGGTGGGGGTGGGGGACTCTAATTCATTCCAGATCTGACCATTAACTGCAAGAAACTGGTCATGAGACAGAGGTGTAAAAACAACAGAGTTCCAGCCCACTTCTGGCTGGCTTCCTAGAAACTGGAGATGGGGCTGTGTAGGGGACAGTATGTGTGATGGTTAAGAGCCCATCTCTGGAGTTAAATAGTCAGGGAGTCAGCTCCTGATCCCAGCACTCAGTAGCTTGGTAACCATAGGAAATTTAACCTCGGATTCTCAGTTTTCACCTCTGTGTAAAAGAGACAACAGGAGCATCTACCTCACAGTATCATGAGGATGAAACGCAGTACATCTGTAAGCCCCTCAGGACTGAGCGAGGACCTGCAGCAACCCCTGGGTGGTGGGGTTCAGAGCACTGCTGTGATGGCACAGGTGGGGCACCTGCCCTGGGCACATTCAGGGTGGTGGGAAATTCCTAGTTACTTGGATAATTCCACTCCTTTCTCCTTCACAGCACTTCAAAAAGCAAGTGAAAGCCGTGTAATTATAGGGGCACTCCTGAGTACACTCTAAGAGAAAACCATTTGCAACAATTACCAGTAATAAATTGCATGTGGCCTTCACAACCAGCAGCTGAAAAACAGGGGCTGAGAACTGTTGTGTCAGTCTGAGTCACCTCCACCCACAGGGACCCACCTCCCCATCCATAGCCCTGCCCCACATTCACTATTTTCCCACAGACCCCACACAAGCTATTGGTGCCCCCAGGTGAGGGGTTAGTCCTCAGCTCATCAGAAGTCAGGAAGGCAGATTTCAGCCTCAGATGTCTGGGCTCAAATTCCTATTTTACCACTTCCCAGCTCTGTGACTTTGGGCAATTGATTATCTATTTGTACCTCAGTTTCCATATCTGTCAAACAGCTAATAAATATATCTCCTTCGTAATCAAGTGAAATAATACATATTAAGTACTTGGTGTGATAAATGTTGGCTGTTATGAAGGTGCTATTTGAGAGGTCAGGTGAGGTCAGTCACTGTCAGTAGAAATCTGAGAAGCCATGGCTCTGGGAATTATTCCAGTGCATAGGCACTGCTGGCATAGGAAAAAGAATGGCAGCGTGAATAGGCATCTTTTCATCTGAAACAGCAAGAAGTGGAAACTGGCGTCAGCAGTCAGTGTGAGTCAGAAGCATCAACAAGGACTTGTGCCGGGTCCTGGAGGAGGGAGCAGGTGTGCAGAGAAAACCCTGCTCTGCCCCACATCCTCCTGTCTGCTGGTGCTGCCAGCCCCTCCTCATCCTACCTGGAGAAACCCATGAGGGCTGGGTTGTATGGGTGCTGGGTCACATCCCATCGCATACCGCCGCTTTCATAGAGAAACATGGTGTACGACCTGCTCCCGTCCGTGGAGAGAATGGCTTGGTAGGTGTTGGTCTAGGGGTTGGTTGGAGACAAACAGGGATACCTGTGAGAGCTTTGGGGTCTCGTCCCTGCCCCACACCCTTGCTGCACCACACGCTCCCCTTTCCTGGCCTACCCAGAACAAAGGCACGGGCTTAAAATGCCGACAAGTTTAGGATTGCGAAAGGCAGTTTTCACCCTGTGTGTCAAAGCACCAAGCATGGCAGATTTGCCTTCTTTGTGACTTCTTTCCTTTGATGGACAACAAGGAGTTCTGCGTGAGACCCACTTAGAAGAGTTTGTATGAGGAAGCTTGCCGGAGAGCTAGGAGAGGCCTAACTAGCTTCCTGAGGGGGTATTTAAGGACATTGTCCAAATGTCCCCTAACCTGAGTAGTGTGAAGGACCACGAAACTGAGACTGGAGGTTCTCTGAAAGCAGCAGCCAAGCTCTGTGCTTGTACAAAGCAGGTAATCACTGAGCTTGTTGAACCAGTGAAGAAATGAGTGACTTCAGCCCAGACACAGGAAGGACTCTGTGCTGGTCCGAGCTGTGAGATGGTGTAGTGTGCCCACTCCCACCACGTGGCCATGGTTGAGAGCCTGAGTTAAAGTCAGGACAACCTCGGTTCCAGGCCTGGCTTTGTCATTTGTCATCTGGATGACCTTGAACACGTTGCTTAACCTCTGTGACCATCATCTTCCTCATGTCTAAAATATGGATTTTAATGTCAGGTTGAGCCCTATAAAATTGCAAATAACCAGCCATTTTTGACATATAAAAATTCTGTTTCCTATATTTTAGCTTCTTCATACCCAGTGATCTGGGCTGCTCTGAGGCTGTGTAAGTAAAGGGCTGAGGCTGGAACAAGGTGAGTGCCCAGGAAAGAGGGGCCAGGAATGCTATCATCACCAATCTGTCCTTGACTAAGAGAGGATTTTAGGTGGGTGACCCCTGCCTAAGGTTCCAGGATGTCTAACTTCCAGATGGTTTTCAGGGAGCTATCCACTGGTACACTCACCCCTAAGGTCCACTGGGCAGGATAGGCAGGGGCATTGACCCATGTGACCTTTAGGGTCCACCTTGCTTTGTAGTTCCAGGTGTTTGTTAACTTTTTAATCCAAGACTCCACCTGCCAGATTAGTGGGTTGTATTCACCAAAGAGTGTCTCATATTCCTAGGAACAGAAGGCAAATAAGTACAAGGAAATGAGGGTCCCAGCCCTGCACTCCTGCAGGAGCCCCACTTCCTGCCTGGTGGTCCTGCTCACTGTAGTCTACCAGGTCTCCCGTCCTTCCCACTCCCAGGCCTTTATTTTCACAGCTCTTTGAACCTTAAGATCAATTCAAATTCAGGTTGCAGGGAAGCTAGAGGTATGTGGATTGGAGAGTCAAGGCCCAGAAATCTGAGTCTTCTAGACTTGAACTCATGTATCTCTGAGCACAAACTGACTAGGACAGTGTGATCACCAGTGCCCATTTGTACCTCCTTGTGTCTGGGGCTCCTGAAGCACAAGTGTGTGTTTCTCCATCTTTGGACCTTCTACAGTGCATTGCCCAGGGCAGGGGCAAAATGTACATTTGCCTGGAGTAGTTTTCATTACGTAATGTCGCTGACTAGAATCATTAACCCAATCCAGGAGCACACACAGAGGCCCTGCTTGTCCCCAGCTTGTTAGGATAGACCCTCCTCCAACCTTGTTCTCAAATCAAGTGGTGGACTGCCAGCACTATTCCTGTCACCTGCAGGTCTTCTCCTGTAGTGTCAGGATACTGCTGAGTCTGTGTACTTGTCCTGATCTGCTTCCTTCCTGCCCTCATCTTGAAGCATCAATCCCTGCTCAGACTGATCCCAGGCCCTGACAGCAGAAACATTTGCTATGCCTCCACACAGTCCTTTGTCTCTCCTGGCTGGCTGTTAGGGGATCCTGAACACGGGGCTTCAAAGGGCCCACCTGGTAAAATACGGTTCCCCGGCAGCTGGAGAAATCGGCGTCATCCCAGAATGGAGCCACCAGGGCCACAGCGTCCCAGCCTGTGAAGCCTCTAAGGAAAGGGTTGGGGTAGGCAAAAATCTGGTACTCTGACTCCGGGAAAATGATCTGGCCATTATCTGTGAACTTAAGCACAAAGGTTCTTCAGGTTATCATTCAAGGAGGGAATGTCCTGGCCTCAGGCCAGCTCCTCAGAAGTGTGTCCCCCAAGGTATTCTTTGAGTAGAACTTTATAATATCAACAACCTCTGGAAGGTCATCTCATCCATCCCCCTGCCCGCTGGGAGAGCCCCCTTGACAAAGTTCTCACACAAATACTCTTCACCCTTGGGACATTCCTCATGCCCCAAGTCCTTCCTAAGGCAATAGATGTTGTCCTGCTTCCGTGGCAGACTCGTCTATAGACCAATCCCCTTGGCCGCATCCTGAAGCCTGCACCACACCAGGTGAGGCTAGAAGGACTCATACCCTCACCCCATCTCTGTGTTGCCATTTCATAATGTGTCCTGACTCAGCCCCCCCTCACCGAGCCACAGGGGCAATAACTGCCATTCCAGCTGTCTTCCAGGAGACATGGGGTGCTTGGACCAGGGAACCAGGAAGTAATTATAGAAACTGTAATCAGCCTTAAACAGATTTCCTAAGTAGAGCTTCCTGCTCATAAAAAGGATCTGTGGGAACAGCAGAGATTTTCCTGGGCAGTGGAACCTCCTTCCTAAGGCAGAGATGCTTTTGTTCACATGGTGGGGGGTCTTGCCTGGCGCCTTTCTTCCCTGGCCAGTGCCCTGATATCAAGGACTGTGAATGCATGCTGAGCCTGCGGTGGGGCACATTAGGTGCCTAACAAATGTTGCTTCCATTTCCCTTTCCTCTTGGTCACGGTCATGGTCACAGGGCATCTCTAAGCCCTGGAGAGAGAAACAGGGCCCAGGGAATGCAGGTCACGGGTCCTGCCCTTTGGGTTGTAGCCAGGGACTCACATAGAGGAAATCCCGGAGAGAGGAGCCAAAAGGGAAGCCAATCTGGGGCTTGAAGAGTGGTGAGGTGAAGTCTACAGTCCTTCTGACAAACTCCTGGTCTCCAGCACTCGGTCCATAGGGGAAGAGGGAAATACCTGTGCCAATACAAAGACAAGCAGGAGGTTCTCACAGGCCCTGACACGATTAGGACTGACAAGGATCCCCAGAGAGCTTCCCCAGGCTCACCTTCACCAGCCATCAAGGACTCCTTTCTCCCCATCTCCACCTGCATTTAACCCATCTCCTCATTTTACCTCTTAAACTCATACTTTCATCCTTCCCCAGTTTGAAGAGAAACAGGCCCTGCTGTTAAAGTACCTAGCAGACTTCTACTGTGTATACCTAATACCCTGGGCTGATTCCTCCAATTGTGCTTGCTGAGGCAGCAGATCTGTCTCTTGCTAAACAGCACCTTAATCATTGCTTCCATCTCTACCACCTAGCCCAGTGTCAGGTAAAAAGCCAGCCATTAGCATCCAACTCTGATGCCATCTCATTGGAGATGAGGCCTGTAAGGCCCTTCTGACCCCGGAGAGCATAGACCATAAACAAGCAGGCTGACAAGGCATTTGGATACATCAACCTCAGGGTGGGCGTATGGGGAGCAGCTGCACTTCCAATGGCCCATACTGGGAAATGGAGACATGCACAGAACTGGTGCCCCTAACAGGAGGCCCCTCATGGGTAGATCCAATTTAACTGCCAAAATGATGACCTCAGATCCCAATCCCCCCCATTCAGGACTGGATAGGCCCCAGCTCTATGGCATTACTTACCTTTCTCAGATGTGGTCAGGACTGGGGCAACTGTGGAGTGGGAGCCCTCGGCTGTGCTGGGAGCAGATGGTTTAAGGGTCTGGGAGGGTGTTGAGGGTAGAAATGTTGCTGTGCTTCTCTGACTGGCTCTCCCTGAGGTTGTAATCATTCCTGGGCATTCCGGGAGAGAAGACTGAAGTGAGTCTCGTAGGCAGTGGCAGTTAAAGAGAGTCACAGATTTTAGGATATGGAGAGAGAGCTGGAAACCCTCCTCTCCATCTTCTAGTTATACCCAGACCATTCCCTACAGATAAGCAGTTGTCTGCTGTGGAAGAGGGAATGGAAAATATGTTACACACCACCGCCCTACTCACTTCATTCTCTTGGCCTGATCTCAAGACTAGCCTGGTAATGGTAACTCACTGTCATCTCCTATAGGTTCAATGGAGCCAAAAGGGCCACTATTACAGACTGAGATGCTAGAGGCACCACCTACCTGATGGCCCAGTAGTCCAAGTGGAGCTCAAAGAGGTTCTAGGTGCTGTGAAAGTGCTGGTAACAAGGGATGTGGACTTTCCTCCTGGGGTTCCTGATGTGGAGACTACAATAGTTTGAGTTGTGTGGCTGACACA